ATTGTTACCTCTTCCTGCTGGGCTGTCAAGTGCTGTCACTGACTTAGTGCCAGGAACTTAACGCTGCTCGCTCAGCATAGTATCTTACAAGGCTCCTCCACTTACAAGTGACCCTCTAGGATATGATTTGAAGATACTGAATGTCTTGTTTCTGTACTGAAAACAGCTTTTTTTTTCCCTTGGATCCAGCCCTAATACTTGTGGAGCAACAGAGAGGGTTCTGCACAGTGACATAGCCTGTGTTTCCATCTCCTGTGTCCCTAAACACCGTCAACTAGGTTATGGTGCCAAAGGCTTCCACCAGTCTGTGAGACAGGGGGGCTTATCTGGTGGGCTCCCCACCCAGCAGACAGCACAGCATTTGCCTATCTCAGCTTGCTGAGTGTCTGGCAGCAAGTGTAGCTGTCTCAGTGTCTCCAGTGTGAAAGAAAGAAGGAATGCAGCTCCAGCCCTGTCCTCACTGGTAATATCTTCTGGAAGGCAAGCCAAAGCCAAGACAGGGCTGTCACCCTGGCCCTGCAATTCTGCTTCTCACGTTCACGTTATCTCTGTGAACTGTCAAGAGAATTAAGGAGGCAGAAATCAGCTTCAAAGAACATCACAACCAAAACATGATCTCATATGAGGAGTGCTTTCATGTACTTCCATCCTCTTTAGATTGCTCTTGGTGGGGAAGGGATGAAGAAGATGGGGCTTCACATCTCTGGGCTGTAGTTTGATAAAGAAGAGACTGTGGTTGATGTGACGCTTTGTCCTGCTGCAGCACTTGTACCACCGCTCCTCCTCGTTCTTTGCAATAGCAAGGGGGAGCTCATACCCTTCACTGGGGATGGCAGGGAGAGCTCATAGCCTTCCCTGGGAGCATGCAAGAGATGCATGCTCCAACAGAACAAGCTGCTTGGATGCATCCCCCTTTTCCTTCAGCATGGCCTTAACAGGACTTGTGCTGATGGAGGGAAGCAAAATAGAATTGAGCTCATGTTCCTTCCTCCTGGTGCATTGACTGAGTGGTACAAAGAGGGGTAGCAAATTCCTCACTGCTGCATAGAGCTGAGGGCTGCAAGGGGAAACCACTGCAAAAGCTGAGGCTGCCTTTCAGCTGGTGCAGAGCTCTTCCTGCAGACACCCTGAGGACTATCACACTTTAAGACAGTTGCTTGGCTGATATAGCAGTATTTCAAATAGCTGAGAGCTGCAAGTCCTGACTTCTCTCTAGGCTGGGGGCCGGGAGAGCCCTTTGGGAAGGTGGAGTGAATCTTTCCCTGATTTGTCTTTTTTGCCTCCTTCTCTAAGCCACGTTGGATCTTATGTGTGCCCTCAGAAACACTCCAGAGGCTTTCTGTATTTTAACACAGAACAGACAGCCTGCCCTTTGCTTTGGACAGAGATCCCAAAGGCTGAGGTAGATGAAGATGTTCCTCACAGGGACGTATCCATTTGGTAGGGAAGGGTGATTGCAGAAAAGAGCCAGAAGCAAATGGCACTGGTGAGCTGGCTTGGGAAGGTTTGCAGTGGGAGTGCCGTCCACACGGGACTTTCTGACTTGACTTTACTGGTGGAGAGCTGGCTCAGCAGAGACAGGATACTCTGTGGATGGAGGGTGGGCTTCCCCCATTCTCCCTGTTCTCTGACAGCAGCCACCAGAGAGTTCCTTGGCTGCTCTTCCCATTTAGCCTTTCCCTGCAGAGATTATCCCATCAAGTTGCAATGAAGCTAAACCAGGCAGTTAAAAACCACCCAGCTAGTTCTGTTCAGCCCAAAGCTGCTTTGTATTTCCAGCAAGGAGATGGGCAATGGAAGAAGGGGGTTGTCTTGCTCTTTAATTATGATCCTTGGGACTTGCAGCTGCAGTGGGAAGCAGAAAAAGCCCCGGGAACGATTATTCAGGATTAGGATCCTGAGCTCTCCCCCCAGACGGCTGGTGCATGGAGGCTGACCCTGCCACCTTCGGGTCCCTCATGATGGGGCTGATGTGCAGGGTCACAGCTCAATTGTACCGGGGGGAGAGCTGCTGAATGCCAGGTCCTGACAGAGCTTAGAAGCTCCACCAGGGAGGCTGTAAAAACAGAAGCGAGCACAGGAAATAATAGCCCATAAGCAGCGCTTCCGATACAATCATGTTCTCATTTCGGTGTCAAGCAGCAGGCCAGGAATGAAGGGAAAAAATACCATTCCCCTTCCTTTTTTGGCAATAATGGCTCGTAACCTCAGAGGAATCTCCAGCCTCCAGGGTCTGGCTCTACATTTTCTCACTCCATCTGGCTCAGGCTCATAAACACACTGCTGAGCACTTGCTCTCACAAGACGTCTGGTGAGGTGGCTTTTGGACCTCACCCTGGTCTGGCACTCTGGGAACTGAGAGTTTCTTTGTTTGGGTACAACTGCTGGGTTTCTCAGTGATGTCCAGGCATCAGAGCGGTTTCCTTAAGCAGGCATGTTTAAATAGGGAAGAAAATCATAGGTAGGTTCTGAATGCCTTGCTTAACTCTACATTGTCAAGTGGAGTGAAGAGCAGCTTTCTTGTCCCTGAAAGAGCCCACTGGCTTTCAACAAACATACACAGGAGTTGAATGGAAGAGCATGCCTTGAGTGCAGCATCCATGCCAAGGTATAAATAGCTTCATTTCACAGGGACCAGACAGCTTCCTTAGCCTGGCAGCCAGATCCCAGCAGGCACTTACATCCACTTGGGGATGGAACAGCTTGGGATTGGAACAGCTAGGACCTGGATGCAAGGGATCCCTGCTGACTTGCCGCTCGCTCTGCTTCACCCATGGAATGTGTAGTACAAGCTGGTTTGTTTTCTACCTACTTCTCCTTCAGTAACTTTTAAAGGACAGCAGGGCCACAGAAATGATCAGAGGGATGGAGCACCTCTCCTGTGAGGAAAGACTGAGAGAGCTCGGGTTGTTCAGCCTGGAGAAGACCAGGAAAGCTGTATTGTGGCCTTTCAGTACTTAGAACGGGCCTGTAAGAAAGATGGGAAGAGACTTTTAATCAGGGCCTGTTGCGATAGGATGAGGGGTGATGGCTTTAAACTAAGTGGAGGGAGATTCAGACTAAATGTGAGCAAGAAATGTTTTACAGTGAGGGTGGTGAAATCCTGGCACAGGTTGCCCAGAGAGGTGATGGATGCACCATCCCTGGAGGCCAGGCTGGATGTGGTTCTGAGCAAGCTGATCTAGTTGACGACGTCTCTGCTCATTGCAGGGGGTTGGAACTGGGTGAGCTTTAAGGTCTCTTCCAACCCAAACTGTTCTATGATTCTATGATTGATTCTGTGAATCTGTGAGTAAGAGGTTTTGGAGCAGGGAGGGCATATGACACAATGAACTTGCATCTGAGTAAGGCCAGTCTTGAAGGGTGATTGAGAGACAAGAGCCATGCAGTGCTGTTTTCCAGGGGCACCTTGGCACTGCAGACTCAAGCCAGAGGACATCCTGCCATTTCTTTCAGCTTAGCCCTGTTCCAAGTGCATCCCTGACAAGTGTTTCATAACGTGAGATGTTTTCTTAGACAAAATCCTCAGGCAGTCCCAAAAGATCCATAACAATTCCTGCACGTGCTCCTGCCTTAGAGTGATGAAGACCTGGGTAGGCAGCCAGGGCATGAATCAGGAGAGAGAACGGAGTTTTCAATGCACTGTTTCCTGCAGCATAGGCACTGGGCTGTGTTAACAATATGAGATGTAGGGCATCTGAGCAGTGTGTAATGAGAAAAGGAAACAGCTCAGCACAAGAACTGGGGTGGATGAAGCAACCAGGGCTTAGAGTAACAAGAGAAAATCAGGAAAAGGAAATAAAAAGGGATTTAAGAAAGAAATGACTGCAGGAACTACCAAGTAGCACCAGAAAGGTACTTTCCGATAAGAGGAAGACTCGCTGGGAAAGCAGGATGAGGGTGGAAAGGGGTGGTTTTCAGCAGACAAAAAGAGACAGGAAAATATCACCCCCATGAAACAGGGGTGCTCACCCAGTTTAACTGTGTGGGCCGGTCACAGGCCCCTGGGGATAGAAGTCACACCTTGACAGGGTGTCACCATCATTACCAGTATCATGGCGCTATCAGAGCTGCCCAGCAGGTACGTGTTTTCTGTAAGTGTAAGTTTGCTGAGCTATTGAAATCATATCAAACTCTGCCTCTCTAGCATTTGTTTTCGGAAGAGGAATCAAAGAATCACATTTACTAGAAAAATGAAGTCATTCTGTTTCATGAGTATCTGTGGGCAACTGACTACTGAGCCTGCTCAGCACCAATGTCATCCCCTATTCACGACACTAGGAGTCAGCTCCTTTATCTGACTACTCAACAATTTCAGCTTGGAAGATCCAAGATGATTCAGTGGCTTAGTAATGCGTTTGTCAAGTAGAACTGAAAAAAAATACCAGCATTTTGGGGCAATATTCTTCTAACAAGAATCTGTATTACTGAAATGGCTGTTCAATACGATACAGTCACCTAACCACAGAGGACCACCCTCCTCTGATGCTTCTGCTCCCATTTGGTATTTCATCTGAACTCAGTGATTCTGACACATGGGGCAGAGGCAGCTCAAAGAGAACAAAAATGAGCAATGGGCCATTTTGTACAATAAAATATGTCTAATGCAGTCATCCAGCTTTGGTAAGTATGTCTCACAGAGGGACAAAGCTGCATACAAATGTATAGGAGAGAGGAATTACAAAGAATGTTGTTGGGGAGTTTCATGCCTGAAGAGGAATGGAAAGAGAGAGGACTTGGGTATTCAGGATGAATCTTAGGAAAAGCACTGAGATAACAAAACCCTTTAGGATAAAAGAATTTGGTCATAAAAGGAAAAGAAAAGGACAAGAGGTTTAAAGAAATCAGTGTATCCGTTATCTGGAACACAAAGCAAGGTGGGACAATCTAGTTTTGAAGTCCTGGAATTGAATGAGATAGGTAATTTCTGCTTCTCACATCTGTGTCCCTGTGAATCCAGCTGGCATGAGCTGTAGCAAAACCCAGAGTGAAGTTCTTACCTTTCACAAACACATAAATCCTGGCCATGAGATCCTCATCCGTGGGGGAGTCATCGTGGATGCAGGTGAAGTACCCGGTGTCGTTGGCTGTGACTCTCCTCATCACAAGCATGCTGCAGCTTTGCCTCGTGCTGTTGCGGCAACTGCTTATGTGCACCCGAGGGTCTTCCTTCTGGTCCCCCCTCAACAGCCAGCTTACGGAAGGTGCTCCCCTGTAACAGAACACACCAGGATTAAAGGTGGAGTCATGACTTCAGATAGAACTTAGGCATCCTTCTGGCCCTTATCGGGGTTCCCATTGTTCCTACTCTCGCCATTTGCTGATGAATGATGGAGGTTGCTGGGTGTTTGCATTTCTGCCCATCAGAAATGAAGGTGGATCACCCCTCCTTCTTCCCCAGAGCAAGGGAGATTCCTGAAGTAGTCTGTGGGAACCGCAGCAAGCTCGGTTCTGGAGGAAAACTTCATTTTCAGGCTTCCTGAGCGTGAGTTTGTTTTTACAGCACTGTACTTTAGCCACTTCAAACATTAGAAAGCTCCAGATGAAATTATATGTTTCTTCCAAGCTGAGGACTTTGCATATTTTAAGAGCTAAATTAACTTATATTTTCTTATTCTGAGGCTGTCTGGGGAGAGGAGGACATTTATGTAACTTCCCATCACCTTTCCTGCTTAATCAGCAGTGTCTCAGTGTCGATTTCTGTGAAGGAGCTGGAACTAATCACGTTACAGATCTTGGAATATCTGCTCGAGACACATTTTTTTCCCCAATTTACCTTGTCACAGCAGTCAGAACATCAAGCAGGGCAGCTGAGGCATCACCTCACCCACCCGGGCCCCCCTTGTCTTATCTGTGACCACAGTGAATGTCAAATGCAGTTGTGCGTAGTTCACCAACAAAAAGCAAGGTCTTTTTATAACCCATTTGTCGTGTTGCAGGACTTTGAGAGAGCTTTCAACTGGTCAAAGTTGGCTTGGTAACAGGCCCTGGTTGCACTAGAAACATGAGGCCACACACACCATGGCCGTAGGAGCTCTCAGAGCTCTCTTCTGCTTGGGCTGCACTTGAGGGCTCTGGTGGTGTACTAGGACATGTGTGGGAGGTGAAGGTGATGGTTTTTGGTGCCAGACTGGGTGATGGTGGTCGGTGTGGAAACTGGTGTGGTGTGGGGGTAATTGTCCATGGATTTGTCTGGGGAAGAAGTTAGCATTAGGAGGCAGTTGTGTCTGTGATAGCAGAGGTGGGCAGCGACTTGACTCACCCCTTCTCACTCAGTGAATTCCCTTCAACCCTATGGCGTTTGCTGAGCTGAGGAAGGACTAAGAACCTCTGGATTTCCCCAGCTGAGTGTGGCTGGGGAGAGATCCGGTCTAGATGCACGGCCCAGACACATCTAACAAGCAAACTGTGTGAAGTTTCCAGTTAGCTGAGGACTGACTGCTCTTCCTGTGCCAGTGGCTTTGTCGTGGTGCAGTAGGTGCAATAAGGGAGGGTGTTTGCCAGCAAATTCAGTGACACTTAAACAAACATCCTCTTGGCTCCTGTTTCTGCCCATCCTTTTGTCGCCTTCCTGAAGATGATGTGGACACAGGCCTGAACTCTTGAGGCTGTTCCCAGCACAGAGCTGAACAAGAGCACTGGGAAAAGTGTGAATATCCTCTGTGGTGAAGAGCCTCACCCTCCTTTTTGGATGCACTGTTGACTTGGACAACCCCACCTCATCCGTCACGGCAGCTTCCTGTCCTTCAGAGCACTGAATGATTCCTAGATGCAGAGGTTCCTCCCCGCTGTTCTTTCCTTACCTTACTGACGTCATTAGTGATGTAGTGGCCAGCTCAGTCAAGAAATGGGACTTCAGGCCCGGAATATGGAACAATTCAGGCAGTCAACTCCCAGCGTGTCATCGTGTCCCTGCCCCTTTGCCGTCATCCAGTCTGGTGTCCATCAGGGCTGGAAACCTGCACCAGTGCTCGGAGGAGCAGGTCAGGGATTTCACACACTTGCGCTTCCTTACATGTGCCTACTTTTTCCTCCCCTATTTTATCCTGGTGGAAGATGAAGGCTTTGGCTATTGCTTTGGGATTTTCACAAGGCTGGCAAAAGGAAGTTGCAGCAGCAGCTTTGGCCAGGCTGACAAAAATCAGGAAATCCTGGCCAAGAACCTCGAATGAATGGAGTTTAAGGGAGAAGGGATGTTCACACAGAGTAACCATAGTGTCACCTGCTTGGCCTCCTGTCTCCTGCTGTCCTCCACACAGCCCTAATGCTCCCTGAAGTATGAAGGGCTCCAGAGCAACCTTCAGGCCAGTCCAGAGTCCATCTGTGAGTATGCCAGAGGAGGTAGGATGACAGACACCCACAGAAGACCTGGTACAGGGAATCTTGCACCCCAAGTGCAGAAATCACACTTCTCTCTTCTATTCCCAGCTCTTGCATGACCTGTGTCAAGGAAGTGAGGTGCTCCAGGCCTCTGCCAGTCTGCTTTTCTGCTTCTCAGACCCATCACGTGGATTTATGGCTTTGCATCCATAAAGCAGTTTGGGACTGAATGCTGATAATGTCTTCACCTATTTATTCATCTGGTGGTATGAGAAAAACAGGATGTTCCTATAGATTAAAAAGGCTGAATGGAGTTCAGTTCTCTGATGGAGAACTGCTGAAAAGTATTGATGGAATTGGCCTGGAGCACTACACCGAGCTCGTGCCCACGTAACGTGTTTTATGAAGTGCTGCATCTAGATTTTAAAGGACTGTTTAAACTTTATTGCCATCATGCTTGCTGCTTGCCAAGCTAAAATTACCACTGTCAGGTTGTAATGACCTCACAAGCCACGCGGCTAGCTGGAGGTACTGGGGGAAACCTGCCTTGTGTTCCAGAAGACATCACAGATTTATACAGAGTGAGTCGATTTACTTTGCATCATAACAATGAATTAAATAGACAGGACAAAAATCAGAAGGGACGTATGTGTTAGTGTAAGGATTTACCTTCCTGCTGCTTTTTCATACTGTTTTCAGTAACTCCTATTGCAAGAAACCATCCATGTAGTGGCTACGGTCAAGGGGACTTTGCAAGAAGGTGTAAAATAATGTGCATGCGTGACAGAAGCTGTGGTAGTTTGTATTACCTTAAGCCTTCCCTCCTACAGCATGCTTGGAAGGAATTAAAGCCCCAGCTCTCACAGTGGTTTAGCAGATCGGTCACACTTAAACCAAGTGACACCTACACACACCCCAGTCAGAGACCTCTCTGTGACCAAGCAAGTTAATGTATGTTCTGACACAGCAGAAAGTGCTCTGACTCTGTATTTGCCGGTTAGCTGTGTCCAAACCCATATCCCCCATTTCCAGAGGATCATCTCCCTGTAAATGCACGTCATTACCACAGTTTTACTTGTTTCTTTGTTGTTTTTACACATGGTGCCAAGAACTGAGGAGTTGCCATCATTTACAATATCAGCAGTCTGGTTTTTACTAGTCTTCGTTATCTTTGATTTAAGGAACATGATCTGTTTAAACAGGTCAGGGCTTTTGAATGTACCCGTACTAACTGCTGTTTATTTAACTGTCATAAGCTAGATGGTATTTGAGGTTAGGAAGTTTAAGCTCATTTATACATGTAAAGAGGTAGTGACATGCCCTGGTGACCTTGTTTGTCGTTTACTTATGGACAGGGAGTAAAGGAGAGATTTGAGCTGCAGAGTGGCTGAATCTGAACCTATTTTCAGATGAGGATTTCCCAGCCATGTCCTTAACCATGGTACATCCCCCTTCCATAAGCTTTCCCATGTGCTGATTGAGGATGTTGCTTTGGCCCCTTTTACAACATGAAGAATTAGGCCAAGCCAGATGCTGACCTGGGACTTTCCTCCCTGCTCTATTACAGCCCATCAAATATTCCTTATGGAGAAATGCATGAACAGCACTGGTCCCCAGCTGGCTATGCAGCATCCATCCTACCCAAAAGCTGTCCTGTGCCGAGATAATCAGTGCAACAAAGGAAGTCCAGCATCACTGGCGCAATCCTTACCTGCATTTTATCTTTAGGGTGTCTCCCGGTAGGATGACAATGTGGTCTTTGGCAATGCTTAGCGTTGGTTTCTCAAAAGATTCTTCCTCAGCCAGACCTGACCCAAATGGAGAGGAAACCATCATTAGACAGAACAATAGAACAGGCACAGTACAGCGCAGGCAGCCTTCTGTTTTGGAAGTAGTTCCTAATTCGGGGGCCCAAGCAGTGATTGGTTTATACTAATGCAATTCAGTTGAGTGTGGAGTTAGTGTGAGATCCCCTTGGCTTGTTTGTAGGTTCCTTTATTTATCTGTTTTCTAACACTGAGCACCTGCATTTTTGCCAATAGTCTTTCTCTCACTTTATTTAGACCTGGCTTTCTGAGTTATTGCAGGTAGAGGAGTTATTACTGTCAGTTATAACTGAGTTATTGCAGATAGAGGAGAACAGATTGCTTTCAAAAGGATTTTACCCCCATAGAAGGATGGAAGGAGCCAGGTCTTTGGGAAATCATTTGATGGGAGAGCTCATACGTTATGTTTTAATCAGTAAGAGTAGGGAAGAGAAAATAATTCTGGGGAGCAGCTCTGACTAACAACTGTGCAGCATCTGCTGTATGAAAAGTGAATCAAACTCCTGCTCTTTTCCAAAGCACCATCCACAAGCACTGCATGTGAACTAAACAGGGAGCTGCTGGCTTTGAGGGCAGCATGGCCCTCAAACATGGGGGTACAAGGGACATCTGCACATCTGGGTCTGGGCCCACATCATCACTGCTGGTGTGAAAGGTTTGTCAGGCCTCTGATGACAGCAGTCTTTAATTACAGTAGTGATAAAGGTCTCTCTCATCATTATCTCCAGGCCCAAGAAATGTCTTCTGAATGTGAAGCTGTCCTCACACATATCTGAGTGTACATCACGATGATAGAATTGTCAGAAAGTGAAACTGAGAAGAAACAGAAATGAAGTTGGCCAGACTTGATTCCTTGTCCAAATTCAAAGTAACATAATCAAGGGAAGGAGAAAACAGACTTAGATAAGTATCTCAATTTCCAAAGCTCTGGCATTAAAGCTGTGTGTTTTCTTTCCCTTCCTGCTTTTCAAATCTCTATCTTCTCCTTTGCCTTGAGCTTGATAAGCCAGAAATCTTTAGCTGGGCTTATAACAACAGAGGCATTATTATCAGCAGAAAAGTGAAGGTAACATATCTACCAAAAAAGAGAAACATTAGGGTTTAACTTTTCAACTGGATGAAACAGTGATTTTCTTGCCTCCCACCTCCCAGCTCTCATCTCTTTTTTGCTGAATTCAAGTAAAATGCTCTTAGCCTGGCATATTCCCTCAGCGTGGAGAGTGAATCACTCCCACTTGGAGAGCCTGGCTTCTCCCATGTGCCATTCAGATTCCCATCAGTAACTCAGCGGAGGCCAGCTAATCTCACAGCACCAAAGAATCCTTCCCTCAGGGGCTCCTGCCCAGACAGCACGGTGATGGGCTCCCCTGGAAGGCATCCTGACCCTTCCTGTAGACCTCTAGCTGAGACTTTAACCTAGTCCTGGCCATTGCCCCAGCACCAGAGACACCCCCTCCAGTTTTGCATGGCTGTAACTCCAAAGTCCTTTGCAGAGTAAGAAGTTGGACTCTGGACAACACAAACCCCTCCAGGGGATGTGTGTGACATTATTTAGCATGGCCCTATCTAGAACTGTTATTACATGTAGTGCTGTGGAAGCAAAACAGCCAGTGGGTTCCAGCCCTGCAGTCCCCCTCTCTTCTAAGATGTACCATTATTCCTAAACACGTTCAGGGTGACATGCAGGCTGCAGCACCACATATAGCAAAGAATCAATAGGAAAAGCCCCAGATTCCACAAGAGGAGACACTATAAGGCAGGTACTCCGGGTCTCCTCCTGTTTCTAGAAACAACCATTCTCACTGCGCATAGGCTGAGCTCTGGCTCTTGTCATTTCATGGTGCTGAGGGATTTCAGTCTGTTAAGCTCATGTGCTTTGCAAAGACTATCCAAAACCTGCCTTTGTGTTTGCCGAGTGTCATTTGCTGGCTGAGGCATGTTTGGGTCCTGGGTGGCTGTCCCAGGACATAGCCACCCCCATGCTCTTCTCTGGGATGGTCACGCTGTAGCTTCAGCCAGGTACCTCTTCGACTTAGAAAATCCTGGGGTTTGAAATAATCCTTTCTTTCTTTCCTCTTGTGCCTGCAGTTGTTCTTAGGGCTCAGGGCGGGCTTAGCTGGTGTCTCGAGCTGGCCTTTGCACAGGCCTCAATGTCACCTCTCCTGTGCAAGTGTGGTGCTGTTGGTGGGGTCTGGAGTGCAGGGTTAGGGAGCTGGCACCAGACCTGAGCTGCTGTTGGAACCAGAAAGCAAATGCAGTCCTTGGGGTTTGTAATATTTGAGACTGTTTTTGCTGAAAGAAAAGGTATTTTTCAATTATTCTGTTTATCCTTCTGAGCTGCTTCTTTCCCAAAGTTTATTTTGGCTTTGGGAGCTGAAGAAAAGAATAAGCAAAGTGTAATTTCAGTGCTTTCCTAGCCCATGGAGGACAGGAGGAGAAATGCCTCTGCCACACACACATTTGGTGACAGAGGGTTTATATAAACACAGCCTGTGCCCCTTCTGGAATAGCAGGGCTGGAAAAATCAGGTTTGAGGGCAAAACTGGGAGAGCAGTGAGGGAAAAGGTTGGGCTGGGCTGCATCAGGACACCTCAGTGCCAGGGCTGGCAGGATGATGCCTCATGTTTTTGACCTTCCCTGGTCCCTTTAGAGCTAGACTTCATTTTGGGGGGGCAAAGCACAGGACATCTTTGCCCTGGGGCATCTTGGATGTGAGGAAATGGATCTACTCCACTTTCATATTTGGTTTATATATTTAAGGAGCTCATGGCTTTTGGAAGGCATTAGGATGCTGCACACAGCTTCCTGCAGGGAGGGCAGGCATGCTGTACCATGCCTGGTGGTGCACACCCTTGCTGTAGCTAACATGCTTTGGTTGCACATCTCCAATTACAATGTCCAGGCCTAAACTAACATTCTCCTTTTCTCTGCTAAATAATTCTGGGCCTGCTTTACAGCTACGGGGGTCATAAAATTAAAACCAAATACTCGTGCCAGCCTTGTCATTACCATAGCAAAGCCCTACAGGGGAGCAGACAGCTTCCATGTGTGAAGGCCCAGGAAACGGCTCTGGTCCCATGGCTGTCCCTGCCATTTTTCTGTGAAGCTAACACTGCTGCCTGTTTGGGGTGAGGAACCAGAATCCTTCCTTAGATCACCAACTGGTTTGTGTTGGAGGGACCTTAAAGCTATCTGGTTCCAACCCCCTGCCACGGGCAGGGACACCTTCCACTAGAGCAGCTTGCTCCAAGCCCCATCCAACCTGGCCTTGAGCACTGCCAGGGATGGGGCAGCCACAGCTTCTCTGGGCAACTTCTGTAATGGTTCAAGTTAAGTTGCCTCCTGCAGAGCTTCAAATAGCTCTTAACACAGCATCCCCTCTGTAAACCAAGGGAGAAAGCCGGGCTCCTCTGGGAAGCGACATGGAGCACCTGATGTGAGGTTCCTGCCCTCACTTCTTGCCAACACAAGTTGACTACAGCAAGAATTAAGAGCATCACTAGGCTAAAGACAGCACCTAGAAAGAGCCCCAAATCAGGACAGACCTTCTGTCCAGAGCCTCTCTGCACTGTTTCTTTTGCTGAGAGTTTGTTTTTACCTTCAGTTTGGACTTTAACATTCTGCTGTTGGCAGTGAAAACCCCAAACACAGCACAACCACACAAATCCTTGGGAGCAAGATGTGAAAGGCTGATACATTGTCCAGGGAAGAAAAGCATATTGAAAACTGCTTTTCCTGGGATAATCTGATGTAGCAGCACAGCCAATATTAAACACGGGAGGGTCCCCAGGCAGAGGGTAATGTGTGACCTCCCTCACCTCTCTGTCAGATGATTTCTAACTCTATCTCACTTGGCTGAGGGAGATCCCTCCCACACTAAACGAACGCCTGTTTGTTCATGCTGGGACCATCAGTGCACACAGATAAAAACTGTTTTTGATCTCTGTTCCTTATTGTAGCAGTCTTCCTTCAAGCATCCTCCAGGCACTGTAACTACCCAGTGGCTATCCCCAAGGGAGCACTTACAGATGCGTGTGAGATTGAAGGTGTCGTGCATAGCAACAGCTAACATCAGTATGGTATCTATCTGAGTAAGGGATCCACATACCCCTTTTGGGCAGTGCAGTGCATGGAGGACGTGAAAGCTGAAGGAACAGTATCAAAGAGCACCTGACCTCTGCATCAGATGGCAAAGAAATAATTGCAAGGCAAACCAGAGACGACTGTGTTGACAGCTGAATGAAGCAGGTTAGACTAACTCTGCAGGGACCTGGGCTCACAAATACCTGTTTGCACATGGTTGAACTCCAGGGACTATACATGTGTGTTAAGTTACTCTTCTGCATAGATCTGGGCCCTAGGATACATCAGGTCGCATTAGAAAGGACTGGAAGGCAGAGTCTGAGAGGTGATTTTAGCAGGAGGGAAGAGGCACATGCCACAACATTTAAAACTGGTTTGTGCATTGCTGGCAGTACACTGGGGACACTTCTGTGAGCCACCTAGAAACAAGCAGGAATCCCCAGAGTGGTCCTGCAATGGAAATGGTCTGTGTGGGCACAGAACGAGCAACATGTAGGCCAGAGGCAGAGCTTCCATCCCTACAGAAGCTGCAGAAGTTCATCCAACATTCAATGAGCAATCACAATCTCATCCAGAGAGATGGCTAAGATTCTTTCAGACTATTCAAGTGCTTGTGTTAACCCAGGAGTATCTGCTGGCAGAGCAACAGGCTTCATGTTTTCCCTGGTTTTTGAAGCCAGAGAAACCAGCATTTGTTTAGCTGACTCATGGGAAAGGGGAGCAGTTCACAGCCCTGCTTCTCTTCTGCCTGCCACAAATAGGAGCTTGTGTAGCTCAGCCAGAGACAGTAGTTTGGGTGTAAATGATCCCAGTGACAACCAAAAATTAAATCATTAGTCTCCAGGGGAGGAGACATCAACACAGCACAGCAAAACCAACTGCTCAGTAGAGCAAGTGCT